GTGTGTGTGTGTGTGTGTGTGTGTGTGTGTGTGTGTGTGCATGCGTGCGTGCAGTGGGGAGGGCAGTGTCTATCAATCACTAAGTTTGACTTTTCTTGTTGAAATGGAAGAGTATGTGTGTCCTTTTACTTTACAGCCAGAGTAGGGAGCTAGCTCCACAGTGAGCCAGTGAAAAAGGCAGCATGACTCTAGGCAATGTTGCTTTCGTTATTCTAATGAAATCCCTTGTTTAACATCCCAGCTAGCAGACAATCTCCGATGTATTCTCCCTTACACTAAAGTCACCCGCTGCTTAGCTCCTTCATAGAGGGTCTTTATAAAGGCTTCCCTGTTTTCTCTAGGCTTCTACACCCTCTAGTAAAAGCAGGTCCCTTCCCATATGCTAATTCCATTGTGGAGTGGAATGTGGATTTACACACTCAGCTTTGCTCTCCATAGCAATGAGCTACTGGACTTACTTGTGTTTCACTGCTCTTGGTTGGGTCAGTTCAGTGCAGATGTAGCCAAGCTAACTCAGGGACCCAAAGCAGTATTGCAGCGTCTGCATAGAGTATTGTATCAGAGCACCTAGACTGCTTTTAGTCCTTATGCTCATTGCGAGCTAACTTGGGTGTGTTTACATGGTGCTGCAGTAGGCAGACCAAGTTGCTAGGGTTTGGACTGAACTGAAGCACTCCTTCCTCTGGCTTGGCTCCATGAGGCTTGGGGAGAGTTGAATTCTCTGGCATGTTCCAATCCTCATGAGCCTGCTTCTGACCTCCTGATACCACACAACAGAAGGAATCACTGAGAGTTATTTACCTTTAATGCTGAACAAGGGACTAGATTAAAAGCAGATAAGAAATTGCAGCTCTATGTCTGTGCCCCTTTTTCCTTGCCTGGGTGGGTGGGGCGAGTTGTGGGCCTTGCTGACGCAAGGAAAAATGGTGCCAAGGGACCAAGAAGGGAAGGGAGGGGAGTCGTCATGTACGATTCAGCTTGGGAGACATGGGATTGTTCCATTAGAAAGAAACTAATCTGAATTTGGATCTTGAGATGAATGGGAGAGCAGCATCTGGTTGCCAGCGTGGGGTGGGAGGCCCAGGACCAGCATGCACAGCGGATCATGTGTACTGGCAATGTCACTTGCTGCACTAGCTTCCCTTGCAGTCATGGGGTAGGAAGATGAGGGGCCTCTGAGCAGGGAGGGGTGTCTGCCCCCAGGGTGAAGCAGAATGCCTGTGCCTCTGAGGCAAGGAGCTGACCTCCACTTCTTCCATCACATCTCAGGGCTTCTAGTCTCCACTCCAGGGCCCAGTCATCAAGATGGGTGTTTTCAGGAAGAAGGTCTCGCACTCTCTCACCCTCTCATAGCACACCCACAAATGAATTACAGTGGCTGAGCACTGCTGCTGCTGATACACTAAGATTTTACTTGTGTCAGGGGTTGTGAGAAATGTGGACTCCCAGTAAGAGAGGGGCTGCCAGTTTGAAAACAGTCAGCAGTCACAGGCCTAGACCATGCTGCCTGTCCCCTCCTCCTCCAGCAACCAGTCTGCTCATTGTCAGAGCTGGCTCCTCCAATATGTATGTTCCCAATAGACTTCCCAGGTCATCAGGGTTAGCATCCATCTCCTTCCCTGGGCATAGCAAGGGGGAGGCAGTTTCTCTCTAAATCTACTTGACCACTTTGAGAACTATGCAAGCCTTGAATCTCCTTGCCTGGCCTCTGCTTCCCCCAGGAAAATGGGTCCATCACCCCAGTGCCCAAACCCCTGACACAAACCTTTCCTTCCAGTTTTGTTTCCCAGACCTGCAGTCATGAGTGCCCTGCCTTCATGTACCCTAACTGGGATCATGTGCTAGCATCTCATGGTTTGTCAAGGCTTGGGTTTCCCCTCTGTACTTTGTCAGGGCATGGATTTCACCCCTGCCCTCAGGCTTGTATAGGCTGCTGCCTTTGGCAGTCCCTGTTTGCAAGTCATGGTGTTGTGCCTGGGTGCTGTGGTCTGTATGAAGAACTGCAGCTGATGTGGAAATGCCAATGCTTTTTTTTCCCTTCACAACCAGAGCACTGTTGTTATAAGCAGGGATCCTGGTTTTCCCTAATAAAAAATTGCAAATTCTCCGATTAAAACCTAAGAATCCATGATTAAAATGAAAGGCCACTATAGATAGGTAGGTAGGTAGGCAGGAAGGTATCAGTTGACTACAATGTTTTAAAGCAATTTGGAAGCCTACCAGTGCTTCAATCACTATAATAAAATAAGTGCTAAATACCTGTAAATTTTGGTATTCGATTTTGGGTTTTTTAGCATGGAAAATCAGAGCTTCCTCTGCCCCCCTCACTCACAGAACACAGTTCTCCAGCCCTGCTGGTGCCGCTCCTTCACCTCTCACAAGCCCCCCACAAGGCAGGTCTTGAGACCAGACCATTGCTTCACACATGCCCTAAGCCTTGATAGCAGGGCCATTTATATGGGCTTGTGAGTGTTGGTGCAGGGTGGGGAGGGTGATTCTGGAGTCTTTGCACAGCTGCAGTCCCCATGGGCTAAAGGAGAGATTCATCTTCTTGGCTGAGAGGTCTGGAGTTTGAGCACGAGACTGGGGGGGGGGGGGGGGGGGGGGGGGGGG